GCTACATCCTAATATAAAAATGCTCCCATAAATGCATTTCACAGTTTCACCCCTCAAACCTCAATCTTTCCATATCTATATTTTTATAAAATAAAAATTAAAAAAAAAAATTGAAAATGGAGGAAAATCAGAAGAAAATACCACTTATAATTGGAGATAAAGAAGGTGATGATATTGGAAGTGAAAATTGGAAAAAGGCAGCAATTGAAGAAGTGAAGAAACAAGTATGGTTGGCAGGACCATTAATTTCAGTAAATTTGATGCTATTCAGTTTGCAGTTGATTTCTATTATGTTTGTTGGTCACCTTGGTGAGTTATCACTTGCTGGTTCTTCCATGGCTACTTCCTTTGCTACTGTCACCGGTTTCAGCTTGTTGGTATGTTCCATACTTTCACCTATTTTCTTAGTACTAGTATTTCCTGTGTCCCTTGATAAGCTATATATTAATTTCTCGTCTTTAACTATCAATATTGATAGAGAATAAAACATATTCCTAGGCTCAATCAACAGCTTAAGTTGATATTATATAACTACACATTGACACATATCCAATGATATATCTTAAATGACTATGTTTTTCTTAGCACTGTATATTAATCAATGAAAATTTGTAGTCAAAGTCTCTAAAATTTGATTCTGAATTAGAAATATGCACTATATTATAGAACAAAAAGAGTACACATTATGTATAACTAAAAAATTATCAAGAGTAACTAAGCATTAATTGATATACTAGTGATTTTGTCATATATTTCCAAATTTATACTCCCCATTTTCATAACTTCAACACAACACTGCCTTTTTGCACTATTTAATCAATAGCTTTGACTTCAATTTTTATTTTAAATGTATAGAAATCAAGTGATTTTATATAATAAATTGTTGGATTAGTTATAATTTTATATACTACCTCTGGTTCGTAACTTTGGTGTATTATTTGTGAGATAGAAAAAATTTTATAGTTGTACATTATACGAACCGGAGGTAGTATTCATAATACCATCATTTTACAATTTAAATTGATATAAATAAAATATAATTTATATTAACAATCAAAGTAACGTATTGACAAATAATCTCCATATCTCAAGGAAACAATAATTGAGGACAAGAGTGAAAATATATTATCACTTCTTAGTCCTCTCCCAGTCTACCTTAGAGGCTTAGACAAGTCAAATTTTTCTTTTGTTTGTACTTAATAAATAATTCTGGCGGCGTAATTGTTTAGGGGACAAATTTAATTTGTGGTTGAGATAACAACTGTGTTTTCACCATCTAATTAGAGTTTAATGGATTTTATTTTTTAAATAACTGTTCCCTATCAGTGAGTATATGTGGCCAGATTGATTTCTATTACAGAGATTTTGAAATTGTCTAAGTCATTGACTTAGTAAACATAAACGTCATATTGAACAACCAAAAACAAAATTGTGAGATAACATTTACTCCTATGATTCTAGGAAATTTCTGGTAAACATTTTATAAGAGGCAAACATAGAATAATGTACTTTGACTTGACAAAATTTTTAATCCATGTTCAAGGTAATAATGCGAATTAAGAGATATTAATAATCAAAATTGTATATTAGAAACTATAATGCTTCATATAAGAAGCTAAAAAGGAAACACTGATATAAACATTAACTATACTGATATATGCTTTAAATTTTATTGTTGTATTTGTTCTATTTAGTCATTGATTATTACTTATAAAAACTCATTTTTAATGAATGAAACCGATATTTACTTATTTTAATTGATCAAAACTGATTTTTGCTTGTCAAAATCGATATTTACCAAATATTTGGTAAAGTGGAGGAGGCCTAAATTAAGCCAAAGTTCATAAAAATTAAGTTAAGTTCATCAAATATAAGTTGAACTCAACATAAATTTATTCAAAAAAAAAAAAAATTCTACGTTTTGTTAAACTTATTTTCGCTAAGCTTAACCAAATTTGTTGTGTGGTGAATGACCTATGCATTTACCTATTCACCTTCTAATTTGATTGCGATATGCTCATGTAATGTGTTTTAAAGCGAACAATAATATCATCTGCTTTCCCTATTTGGCAGATGGGAATGTCAAGTGCCTTAGACACCTTCTGTGGACAATCATACGGGGCAAAACAGTATCATATGTTAGGAATACACTTACAACGGGCCGTGATCATCCTTCTTGTTGCAAGCATTCCCCTGGCTCTTATATGGGCAAATTCAAAATCACTATTAATAGCAGTTGGTCAAGATCACCAAATAGCAACTGAGGCCGGACACTATGCTCTATTCCTGATCCCTGGTCTCTTTGCGTATGGCATTCTTTACTCAGTCCTAAGATTTTTACAAACCCAGAACATCGTTTTCCCTATGATGATAAGCACAGGGATTGCCACACTACTACATTTGCCAATCTGCTGGATTTTGGTTTTCAAATCTGGCCTTGGAAACCGAGGTGCTTCCCTTGCAACTGGTGTGTCCTATTGGATTAATGCAATATTGCTAGCACTCTATGTCAAGTTTTCTTCCTCATGCTCAAAAACTTGGACTGGGTTTTCTAGTGAAGCTCTCCATAATTTACCTTCATTTGTTAAACTTAGTATTCCATCTGCTTGTATGGTTTGGTAAGTTCCCGGAGCCAGCAGCTCCATTGAGAAATCAATTGTGATTGAGTTGAGACTTAGCTTGTTTTCTTACATGTTAGTATGGTATTGATCCGTTTTCTTTCTATAGCTTAGAAATGTGGTCATTCGAACTGATGGTTCTCTTAGCTGGTCTTCTTCCCAACCCAACATTAGAAACATCTGCACTCTCTATCAGGTACGTACATTGGAGCATCACATAATCGTATATAAGTAACATTGCATAAGAAACATCCTTAATATTCCATCCAAAATTAGTTGGCAAATTCTCTCCTTCATCCCTATAATTAGATAAATGCTGGTTAGCATATTAATTAGGAATTATAATCATGAAGCATTTTTTTATGCAAATAATCATAAGACATTGCAAATTTGTAATGATAGCAAAATTGCTCACTTTTTTCGGACATCCTAAACTAGTACTGTGTATGTAGCTATATACCACTATTAATTCTGAGCTGATATATGTTAAACTTTCAATATATGAGCTTATGCTGCAAAAAAATTATGCAGATGGAGTAATACCCTGACAAAGTATTTGCTTCTGTATATTGACTTCTGGCCCTCTTTTATATGCAGTCTCAATACAGCTGCAGTTGTGTGGATGATCCCCTTCGGTCTTAGCGGTGCAGTGAGGTCGGTCTGTTTGATTTTTATTATTATGATGATCTGACATCTGTAATAGACTTATTACCTGATATGCCTCTTGAAGAAAGCTGAAATATATATCTGTAGCTCCTGATGTGTTTTCTGTATTATTTGGGTAGTACTCGAGTTTCCAATGAGTTAGGAGCTGGGCGACCTCAAGCAGCAAAACTAGCAGTATCGGTTGTTCTACTCCTAGCCATTAGCGAGGGCATAATGATTGGAATGATACTTATCTCGATCCGCAACATTTGGGGCTATGCTTATAGCAATGAAGAAGAAGTGGTCAAATATGTAGCTGTAATGATGCCTATACTTGCAATATCTAACCTCCTAGATGGAATTCAATCTGTTCTTTCTGGTAAATATTATACTGAACCTTACATGGTGCTCATTTTCAATTTTTTTTCCTACCGGTTTGCTTAACAGTTATTGCTCTCTATTGTTTTAAAACTTCAAGGAATTGTTAGAGGATGTGGACGACAGAAAATTGGAGCATTAATCAATCTAGGATCTTATTATATCGTTGGCATTCCGTTTGCTGTCCTGCTAGCTTTCGTATTACATGTTGGAGGGAAGGTAAGCAACTCCTTCACCCTGCCAACACAAGTTACGTACCACTTGTAAACTTAACTTGTTTATGCTCTCTCAACTGCATCCTTGTTTTTAATCAACACAGGGACTTTGGCTAGGAATAATCTGTGCACTGATTGTACAAGTCACGTCCCTTTTCATCCTCACGATCAAAACAAACTGGGAGCAAGAAGTAAAGATCCTCAAATCTCCCCCCACATTTAATTTATGAGTACATCGTCTATCTGTTTTACTGCAATAACTAAACTAAGCTTCTGGTTCATATGTTAGGCAAAGACAGCAAGAGAAAGAGTGTACGAAGCAGTCATCCCTGTTGAATCAGTGTCATGACTCATCAGCTTGAAATCCAGAATTCAAGAGACAAACCTGTGAAGTACATTCAGATCAATAAGACTTTCAAACACTATTGAACTAGTTTCTCAATACCTTTGACAAAGAATTCAATTTTGTTCCGCTTGAATGAGGCGAAGAATTTTGAAAGACATATAATCCTAGATTACTGCTAATGATAAAATTTATGCTGGATAATTGCTCTTGCTCTTGCTGTGGTTGCATTGCAATTAATATTGGAGACCTGCTTCTATTACATGAAAAATACAAAAGAGATTACGAAAGCACTACCACGAGCAACAATTTTTAATTATTTAATCGTTTGTCCCATATTACTTGTAACACTTTAGCTATAACACTTGTTAAAATACAACTTTGACCATAAATATATAAATAAGTATATATTTGTAAGATGATAAGGTTAATATCTTAAGATTAACTTAATCAAAAACATGTTATTAAAGAGTTATTTAAATAATGCAAAAAAGTAAAATTGTTGCCACTTACGAGTATGAGATGGAAAGAACATTTGTTTTAACCGTAAAGGACTAAAAATACCAGAATAGTTTAGATCCTGGAGCTCAGGGTAAACTGGCTAAGGATTCACCAGTGTAAAGCAAAGTAGACCGTCTTAACTTTCAGATATAAAGCATTGCCCAGATAGAAGTGAAACACCCATAATTGTGCCCATTTTTATCTTCCCATCTTTAGCAAATATAGAGATAGAAGCCTCTGAGAAACAATAAAGAAGCAAAGATGGGAATGGTAAAAAATTTCAAAAGAAAGCATTACGCCTTAATCATGATAACTTCCCTTAAACAATCGACATCATACACGAAGATTGTTTACAACAATTGAATAACTCTCAACATCTGGAGAGGCAACTGGTAACTTCTGCAAAAAAATAAAAAAAAATATATAAAAAAAAAATCCCTCTACACTCATCATCACCTGTTAGGCTGTTACAATAATTCACTCAGTTCTACATCGCACATGATACCTTACAAAACAAAATTTAGAAAGTATAAAAAATTGTTCATCAATCAATGTTCCCCATCAAATTTTCAACGGTTGCCGAGGGTTTGAAGGGAAATGATAAAGCTCAATTTATTTGCCCCTGCCTTCTACCAACCCTCTCAATAAGCTCTACAGATCTTCAACCATCATCAGACTCCCACTGCAGGATTCTTCATTGATAAACTGCCTGCATCAGCAAATAGCCCAAAAGTTAACTCACAAAAACTCACATTTGAATACAAACAGTAACTATGAGGGATTAAATTGGAGGGAAACTGCAATTGATCTGCAATTGATAGTCAATCAAGCCATACCTGACAATGTGTGCCTGAACAATCAGAAAACACACAGAAAAACACAACTTGGTATCTAGTATTGATTTTATTCAGGCATCTGGAATTCAAGATCTAGTTTGCGCTTTAGATGTGTCCTATCAGCACTGCCAGAGACAAAATTAAGAGTTTAGCTGAAGAAAACCATTTAAGACTTGACATTTTATTCTAAAATATTTTACGTGTTTGTAGATCACATTCATAGCACAGGCTTCTACACAAGCCCATTATACTACAATTCTACCATACCATGCTACAACACAATCTTTGAGTAGTCACCCAAAACATTAGAAGAGGAGACAGTGATGGTCAAAACTGAAGCACAAGCAATGAAAAACAAGTTTAGCCATACAGAAAATTCTGTTTGGGGTTTTTATTAGATTTAATTTAATATTAGATACGAGTTTCAACATTATTACATTGGTAATGAGAACTTTGTAAACAGTTCATGTAATAATATGATCAGATGAACTATCAACCTGTTCTTAAAAACAAATGTAACCGAATAAGTATAAAAGCCAGGTCAAACACAAGTTCAAATTCCAGGAGAGAAGCAAGGGGAAGACGATAAGATAATAACTCTTGGTCATTATTCTCTATTCCCTGCTTTAAGCTCTTCAGTAGTGTGTCCTAACAGGCATCAACACAATCTACCGGCGAATTAGTCAAGCATTCTTTTAATATAAATAAAACTAATGCGCTACATCAAGCTTCTTGCAGAAGATACTATGTCAACCATAAAGGGCCTAATAATAAGGAAGCATTAATTTTTTATTTTTTAATAACTAACATATATTTGTGTGTTAAAAATATAATTTAGTAGCAAGGAAGAGAAAAAAAAAAAAGGAAATTCCAATAAATTTGATAAAGACACGCCCCATAAAGCTTCCAGGTCAAACTATAAACTGTAACCAAGCTAGACACCCAACTAGGAAATTACTATCTTTTCATCCAAAACACAGCAAAAAATGCTGATTACTTTGGTGTTTCATTTTGAAACAGTAGCCCACCCTGCTAATCCTGAAAGATGTTACAGAACTTAGCAGATAGTATCATGAGTAAACAGAAAGGCTGTTTGTGATGGATCAATCAATATAGACCAATTCAGGATATAGGATAGGAAATCATGACTGCAGCAAAACAAAACTTAATGGCAAGGCAATGGACTTGGGGTATAGTAACTGCCAACTAGACCCTTGTAAATGAATGAGATTAATTCAAATATGGCAGGATTTTTCATAACTAGAAGACTTGCACATCATTTCCACTGGCTATATCAGGATTCTTTTGAAGCTTGATGCGTAAGATAGCTTAGTAATGACTCGGTCACTAAGTATTTCCTCCATTTCTTAATACATGCAACAACTTGACTTTATAATACACGATTAAAAATTAACGTAATGCATGTATTGAGCAATGGACGGAAGTATTTGATGTGTTTTATATTTTAGAGGTTTAACTTTGAGAATTTCTCCAAGTAAAATACAATCACAGAAATACTAATAAATTATTTTCTATCTTGACAAAATAGGTTGGGTGATTTAACTCATTTTTACATATGGAAAAGAACAAATTATCCCTTTAATCAAGAAGCATGTTCAAGTTGATAGGTGGGAGCACTTGAAATCCCATTGAAGAAAATAGCAGAAAAGAAGATACTAAAGTTGGTCTAATATGAAAATTTTATAAGAAAAAAAAAATGAAATAAAGGAGTTCTAATACAAAACCTATAAGAAACATCCTCCTCGTTTTTGTTTGTTTTAAACTAATTTACAAAGATATGGCTACCAATGCCCGACATTTGTACATTGTCCAGGTGCCCGAATCGCCAATGTTGTAAAAAAAGTTCCATGATATTGGTCTAGAATGAAGTGTTCAATTGTCCTACTACTCTTATGTCACGGGTATATTTGAGGTGAAATGAAAATTCCGAGTAACATAGATTATAAAGACAAAATGGAGCTATTCAACAATTAAGAGCACAAAAATAAGTATTAATCCAGTATGAAAGTTGAAGAGTCCTAACACATCAAGGAATAACTTCAAAAGGTATTAATGATTATGTTTCAGGTGAAATATTGATTAGAGACAGATAACCAGAAAAAAATGTCAAGGTTACTTTTAATCTAACAGACTGACCCAAAAAGAAGAAAGGAATGCCTTCAATGTCATTAAAGAAAATGTGTTTGCCTCAATATAAAAATAAAAAATAAAGATAATTTTTGTAAAAAAAAGAAAGAAAATATGTTGAGAATGAAGAGAAGAAGATTGTAGTAACAGGAGCCCTGAAGAAGAAAGCACGATGAAATTTATAAGCGGAAGAAAGGTGTGGATAGTACGTGAGAAATTGCTGTCCAACATGAGAATTCGTACTTCAATCATGAAATTCTCGATGAAGGTGCCTTAAAATCTGATTTCAGGAAGAAGAACTTCAAGTCTTTTCGAGAAAAAGGAGACATAATTGGGAGAAACAGCATGGAACCAATAAACAGTTTCATCTATGATTTGGTATAACAGTTTCTTACCTCTCCCAAATACAGTTCCAAGGCTATAGCAAGTTTTATACAAGCATGCTTAACACCTAAGGAAATGAGCTTGATGAAGGCTGAAGCTAATTGGCAAATAAGTAAATGTTAATATTCAGAATTTGGTGAGTTTTCTTTCAGGCTTTCAAATATACAAATTCATAAATACATCCCTAGAAGTGCACAAGGAACCTAATATAGTTTTTATATAGGAAACTTATCTTAAGATTACATTCCACATTTTATATAAAGCTATGTCAGCTTCGACTTCAGAATTCCCATGTTGAATCCATTCTAGCAGATCAATTGACTTAGTCTCCTTATTTAAGTAGACAACTACCCTATTAAGGTGGATAATTTCATGTATTATTCAGAACTATGATAATGTTCTGACATTCAACTCTCATGTTTGTCTCTTAAGCTCTCTATAAGCTTCTAAGTAGCTAGCTAGCATTTATGACTTGTGAACACTTAACTAATCAACCTAATAACCTAGTTGCTTTAGATGAAGTTGTGGTGAGTCGATTCTTTATAAACCTCTGTTTAAGAATCAGAACTTTGTTTTTCAGATTAGGTTAAATGAATTACAGGGGAGAAGTCTAAGTTGGAATTATGACTGAGGTGTCAGTTAAAAGAGTTGGGGATGATGCCAAGTCTGCATGGCCCTGTTGCATCAAATAGTGTAGTCTATGCCAAAACTAGGGAGCCATCTAAAACAGAAAGGACATGTTGCTGGTAGCTGTCACATAAAACTCACATGTCTAGGGCACTGGCCTTCAAAAAATAGGATAAAAAGACTCTACATGCCTGACCACCACACCGGAAAGGTAGCTAAACTCCATCAACTACCATTTAGGGTTTGTTTAGTTCAACAAACTAAAGTAGATAGGATTGGTTCCCCTATTAAAAATAGCCTCCTTAATACAATGTTGAGTACATGCTTTAGTTACACAAGTAGAAAAAAAGAAACATGACAGAAAAACCAATATAATGGAAAAATCGATGCTCTGTCACAAGTTCTCCCTCCATTAGGAGTCATAGCTAACAACTACTCCCTCTATCCCAAAATAATTCCTGTTTTTTTTTTTCTTTTTTTTTTATAAATCACAACATTGAGGATTTAACGGTTGCCATGCACATTTAAATATATCAAGTTTTGTAGTAGTAAAAATTAAAAGAATTAATTTTATGCAAGTGTATTTTGAGACGAATCTAACAAGATCCCACATAACTTTTTTTTTCTAACGTATAAATCACAAAAGACAATCAAAGGAGTGTGTGAATAGTGCAAAAATCCAAACGTTGCGTTTAAAAAAAACCGGAGGACGTATAGTGTATACTTCATATTGCACCGTCTTCAAGATGCACCTGTGACTATCAACATCTTTAATTATGTACTAATATATTATTTAATTGGAAAAAAAAAAAGAAGAATTGATGAGAAGCTAACATGCGGACAATGATAATGTCACTGGCTTTTGTTTTAGTATTAGTTATTGATTAGGGTCAGCTTCCGCATTTATCAATAATATTAAGTTACTAGATGTCAGAAAATAAAATTACCTGTTAATAGTTGGTCTAGGAGGAGGTCTAGATCCAAACACAGAAAAATCTATTGACATTGGTATTGTGTCAGTTCTGCTTGAGCTTCGGCCAGTTGTTAATCTACTCCCACTGACATGATCATCTAACTTTTCAGCATTGTGAACATTTTCTTCACCCCCATCATTTCTATTGGGCATTACTCTTCTCATTTTTCTAGGTGGAGACAACACAGTAGGTCCTTCATTTGGATTAGACTCAGGAACTTTTGAGTTGTTATCGCCTTTATGTGAAGGTCGTGGTAAAGAAGCTGGATTTGTAGCAGCTGGTGGTGATGTGAAGTATCTGTACGGTTAGCACAAATAAATTAAGATAAAAGGATAAATGCGATAATCGATGGACGCACCAAATACAGCACAGTAGCACACCATTTCCCCACCAAAATTATATATGGAAGATATAACCCGAAACCAAATTGGAAATAAAGATTACAAACAAACTGTCGAGACATACCTGTGCTCCAAGGCCTGCTGCGCAGAAATTCGAGCTTTTGGATCGTAAGCGAACATCTTAGACAACAAATCCAAAGCATCATCACTTGCCATTGGGAACAATGTACGTAAAGGAGGTGCTGGCACATATTGGTATTCCACATAATCAGGAAGGTATACCATATCAGGCCACTGAGCAGGCTTTGGTGTCCCAAAGGCTGCAAAAATTTTGCCAAGTTGATCAATGTCACTTGAACCCTGCATAAAAAGGGAGGTCAACTAATCAGCTCATACAGAAATCAGCAATAAAAAATAATAAAAATAAGGGAAATTATGAGATCTTATACAAGTAATCAAGACATCCAATTCAAAACATTCTCCACATTGTAAACAGTAGAGCAAGATAGGCACACCATACAATCAAGTCATAAATTACAGTTCTGTGTAATGTTGGGTGATTAATTGATGGAGGATAACAGCTTGTAGCACAAACAAGAGAAGATACAATGACAAACTAAGGCGTGTCGAAATGTTACAATAGCTTTCCTTTAAAGAACATTATATACATGGTGCTTTGGTAGTATAGGACTATGTTACCTCAGCTCAATAATTACACTGCCAAGTGCCAGCTCATGTCCAACACTCTCAACATACTCCAATCAAAATTGATATGAGTACTTGGGTTTGATCTTTGAGAAAATAAAGCACACTATATTCATGTAAGATACTCTTAATGAGTCCAACGCTGGTAAAAAAAAATCCAAGTAACTGATACTTTAGACGAAGGCATGCAGGCTCATAGGTCCTATGAATGTGGTAAAGAAATTTATATTCAGCTTAACAAGGAAATGGCTGCAATTTTTACCTGGACCCAGACTCTTTGACAAAACAAAGTTGTCATGAGATGCCAAGAGAGGTTGTGTCAAAGAGTCTGGGTCCAGCTAAAAATTGCTTTTCAATGTCACTCGTGAACCCATTGTGTCAAACATTGAGCATACTATGGTTCAGCTATATATATATATTAAAGTATAAGTTACCCTTTCTCTCAATGGCTTTGACAACTTGAACTTTCTAACACTTCTTCTGTTGCCAAAATATTGCAACACTTTGACTAATATGTGAAAGCTTTTTAGACAACGTGTAAACAGAGGAAGTATACAGCAAATGATCACAAGAAAAAAGTGGATGAAAGGTTTCTTAGCCTTAACAACTTTCACCAATCTAGTTCTTATTGATCCCAACAAGAGGATTGGACAGTAGACAGCTCAGAGTTATTCTCATACAAACCCTACAAAAATTTAACCCCGCAGAGCATCACTCTACATCTTCCCATGTTGGTACTTGCATCAGGAAGTCCAAAATATTTGCTATAATTATCATTTACTGCTCACACTAACACCACTGTATAAAACAAAACAAATGGAACATGTTGCAGAAATAAAAGATTGTGTGGTCCTCTGCCCTAATGATGATGTAAAGAGGAACACAAATAAGCTCACTTTCCTGCATCATCCCTTTATTTGAAAGATATAATGGAGGGTCCCTAGTCTTTCATGGAACCGCATGTTTTGTCATCCAATTTCATCAGCAATACTTCATGTAAGAGAAAATGGAATCATCGGAACTTGAAAGGTGAGGATACTTTAGAACATTTATCTTTTTCAAAAATTGAAAGCATTAGGATGGAACACATGAATAGTGTGTCCAAAACTGTGCTCTTCCTCATATATTAGGCTGCGGGTAAGTGGTTCAGTTGGCTTAACACTGAGAAATCAAGCATTGAGAATAAAAAATTTCAAATGACAAAGAGAAACAATTAAAACACTTTGTGTTTTATGTTTTTGGTTTTCTTCAACTCCTCCAATGATATAAGCAGGAAAAAAAAATTAATCACAGGTCTCTTCTAGTGCATTGAATAACAATATAATGGCATTAGTATTGTCATGAATGTAAAGATTTAAGGAAACTTAAGCTAGTATCAATGTACTCTTGGCTTTTCCATTTAAGGTTGGCCAGGTGGTTATTCCATTTGAGGGTGGCCAGGTATATATCTATTACATTCAAGCCACTGCACATCATGCAGTATTTTAGTAATCTCGCTACATATTTAAAATCATTTTAGTAAATTCATTGAACGGAATTCTCTAGGTAGACAAATGTTGAACATTTAAGAGCCAATGTAGTACTTGTTGAAACCAAATGTTGTACATAAAAAAAAAGTCAAAAGGTGAGAGAGAGAGAGAGAGGAGGGGGGGGGGGGGGGGGGGCGGGCCTTAACAATTTAAAATTTTGTCATTGATATATACAATTGCAAGATTTTCCCTTTTCATTCGATACACAAAAAATATTTTTGCACACATGGTAACTTTCGACTTACAAAAGTCAAAATAAAAAGGGAAAAAAATTACAACTATTTACACGTTTGCCATTGATATATACAATTACATATACATCAATTATATTTTAGAAAATTTCCTCGTACACAAAAAAATTACTTTGCACACATGGTAACTTTCAACTTTGTTATTCATAATCTGCGTTTAGCACCACCTACCTGTTTTCTTCGCTCCTTTCTTCCATTAGAGCATTCCCTAGCAACTATCATAAATTAGTAAAATGACCCTTGAGATGAATAAAAAAAATGTCATGAAATTTAGCTCTCTTAGATTATAGTATATCACTTTTCCCTTGAAAGACAATAATTGGTCATAAATGTAGGTTTTGAAAGAAAGAAACGAAAGGATAAAACTCTAAGTTTAAGAATAAAAATATCCCAATTCAGCTATTCAACTGCAATAGACAGAATACAAAGGCCTTGTTTGGTTGCAATGGGACTTAATTTCCCCATGGTAATTTGCAATTTATGGGAAATAATTTCTCTTACCTGATTCCCAAGAAATTGCTTTAGTTTGTTCTGTTGGTATTAAGGAAATTACAATTCCTAAGAAATTTGAATTAACTAAAGAAGGTGGGTAAATTAATTCCCACATTTGGCACTTTTTGGTAACCAAACAACATACTTTAAGTGTACTTCTTAGGAATTTTGAGTGCCTATAGGAAATTAGTACAACCAAACAAGGCCTAAGTCTTGGTTTTAAAAGTTGAGAGGGAACCCAAGAAATGCCCTAAAAGAAAGACGTAGGATGCAAAGACTTTCCTAATACCGTGCGGGAAAACATGTACTCTCAAACCGCGAACAATCTGTCAAGAGAAATGCCAATATCACATTTTAAAAAGAGTTTTGCAATCCTTACTCTCCTAAAAAAACATCCCTTCGGTACAATGCATAAACAAATGCCTTCCTCACTGACCACCCTAATACATATCAGCCTTGTGAAATTACTCTAATTCATAAAATAACTTTAGGGGGGGGGCGTTTGGTCCAGGGTATTCAAGTAAGAGTAAGAGAATCAAATTTCCTTTGTTGATGTTTGTATCGACATTTATGACATTCCATTTATCCTCCCTATTAACCCAAAGTCTTCTACATTGAATCCCAACCCCCCCCCCCCATATATCGAAATTCTTTCCATAGCCACCACCACACCACACCCACCACTTCCATGTCTTCCACCGTCACTGACTTTATCACCGCCAATGACCCACCACTGCCACCCTAACCACCACCGCCCATTTACTACAAAACCCACTTAATCTTAGCGAACTTTACCCAACCACCACCCTAACCTAACAACCCACCACTACCACCCTCACCACCACTGCGCCGCCAATCCACTACAAAACATACCTTATTTCTACAAATTCTACTTAACTACCACCCCAATCTAACAACCCACCCACAACCCCATCCGAAAACCCATCTCCACCCTTAAAATCTACGCAAAGCCCATCCGAAAACCTACCCTCACCATCAAATGCCCACCCTCATCCTAGAAAAAAACTAGATTTAAGAGAGGATAAAAAATGAAAGAGAGAAAAAGATAGATGGAGGGTGCTCCGATAAGATATGGTGGTACAAGAGTGAGGCAATGCTCCGATGAGAAAGAAGGTGGGGTTTGGTTGTGGAGGTTGAGATGGGGTTGAGAAAAAAGAAAGACGATGAGCTATGGTGGGTTTTTTTACAAGACAAATTTAAGGGTTTTAATTTCCTTTCACCTCCTTTCCCTTTCTTCATTGCATACCCTTTCCCTTTGTTTTACAACACCCCATTAATCCTTTTAGAGCCTACAATTCCAAACAATATTTACCGAAAGCATACTTCAGCCTAGTGAAATTACTCTATTTCATGAAATAACTTTCATCTTTCAGAAGAAACTCCAAGGAGCAAAGTGTCCATAGAACCAAGAAGGTTGGCATGAAATAGTAAACACATCATGCATGTCAAGCACAGATTTATAAGAGTAATTGCAGATAAAATTCACTATATTATCTACATAAACAGATATAAAACCAAATCAAAAGAAAACAGAAACCTATAATACAACATCCAATACACTCACCTAAGTTAAGTGACCCAACACCCTTGTGAAATATACATGCAATATATATCATTATAATGCACAAAAAAAGAAAGCCTGAATTCTATATCCAAGTTTTTTTCCAAAGGCCAGATGGTTCATAGTATGGGTGGCCTTGTACACAGGCTATAAACACTTGACACAACAAATATCATCAATCATATAATTTAATAAAGACCATTCCAATACATAAAGAGTGTTTTGTAAGGGATTCTCAATAGTAGTTGATACTTTATATCATGGATTATAGCATTTAGATGTGTGGGATTCTATTTCTATGGAATTAAAATTCGTTGTTCCAATAGTCCAATACTAGACAGAACTTGGAGTTTGACTTGCCGCATTAGAGGTTTAGAAAAAAGAAATTCCACTACGTCCTTTCCATTGTCAAATTACGTAAAAATTAGTTTACATATTAGATACTTCTTCCACTCCCCTAATATTGCACCAATTGGACATTTGACACTATTCACACACTCCTCTTTGATTACATATTGTGATTTATACGCAAGGAAAAATATAGTTATACAGGGTCTTATTAGAAAAGTCTTAGTATACACTTTCCGATATCAATTTTTTATCATTTTTAATTTAATATAATAATTAATGAAATTTAAGGCTACAAATGTGCATCAGGATGCGCAAATCCCCACCCACCCCCAATGTTGCAATAACAAAGACCATCTCTATCTATTCACTTCTATCAATGATTGTATGCTCCTCTAAACCCAACTTCTTGCATCATTCTTAGCAAATAATCAGTAATTACATGACAATCAACATATATAGGTCTTCCGGGCAATCACCTTGCCAAATTAAAAGGTTAGGGTGATCCAACTTTCAAAATCAGACATAACAGAGAATTAGAGGTTAACTTCCGATATATAGCTGGTTTCCTTTGTTTTATATTCATGATTTCGATAACCGGCAAGAGGTCAAATAAATCTACACATCCTAAATAAATAAACAAAATTTGTAAAGTACAACAAGCTTACCTGTAAAAACGGTCTTCTCAATAGTAGTTCTGCAAACACACAAGCAGCACCCCAGACATCTACCGCAGGACCATATTGCTTAGTGCCAAATAGCAGCTCAGGTGCTCTATACCATCTAGCAAAAACCTATGAAAAATATATTAGAGCCTAACTAACAACAGATTGAGCAGAACATAGGCTATTTAACAAAATTTTGTCATCCGCACAACAATTATATGACAAAATACTAGAAAAGACTATAAGAGGGAGATTTGTTAGTCAAAGTTAGCACCTTGATCCTTAAGCTTCACCACAATCAATTCCGGAAAAATAATTAAATAAATAAAGAAAGGCACATACTTCTACACAGTTTATTCTTTGGTACATGACTAAAAACGCTAATGACCCAAACTAGTTCAGCAGAGACACATCCTCCTTCAGGTCACCCAGATCTATCCAATACTACTGTGCACACAAGCGCAATGCCCTAATTGTGTTAGTATATTAAAAGAATCTAAACTTCTTGTTTCTGTCCTCTCCCTGACCTCCTTAAGAGGGAATACCTATAAATGTTCTGTATAGTTGATCTTTTTCTACTAACGCACTTTGTATCAATAGTAATGAAATAAAGTTAGTGTAGCCCGGTTTTGGTTTGTAGCTTCGGTCTCCCATGGACCCTTCCTAGAAGATGGCCTGGGTTCCGAAGCTTCTTGGTGGTTGTGTTGCCTTTGGGCTCTTGGTATTTTTGGTGTTTTGGCCCAAAGGGCTTTGTTTTACTTCTTGTTGCTGCTGCTTCTTTGGGCAGTAACCCCTTTTTGGAAATAATATTTTATATTTACCAAAAAAAAAAAAGTTAGTGTTGCAAACAATAAAAAGTTAGAGATCAGCTGGTACTCACAGATAAAACTGTTGGCATATGGTATAGCTCAAAAGCATATTTATATTCATTCCTAGTTTAAAACTTAAGAAAAAAAACTCGTGATCTTGGTCATGGTGACAATTACAGTGATGATCATAAGGTCAACATAACATGTGCCAGACAAAACCAACCACAGCTGGCTCAGTGTATGCTGAAATGAAATATCAGAACTTCTTAACTTCATAGTTACAATCAAGTGACTAAAACCTAAACTTCTACAAGCACCTTCCAACATATAATCTTTATGTTTAAAGAGAATTTGAGTTAAAGGAGTTCCCTAACACTTCAAACAACAACAGTTTAAGGGCTTGTTTATATATGAACGTAATGGGCCTGATGGTATTAACAAATAGTAACAAATAAGACCGTAGCACGACCTGTAACATATACTATTACCTGCAATATGAATTGAAAACCCTAATTTTATAGCAACATATTGTGTAACAAGTAGCAAAATCCTAGACATAACATAAAATAGCAATCTTTACATGACGTTAAGGCCCTGGTTCATTCCATCATGCTTTAACCTCCATTAACAAGAGCATATCTAGGAAATATGCAGTCAACTTAAAGTATTTTATATGAAATCGTTGAAATTTCAAAAAGATTACCAATATCAAAGAAAACAAGAATTTAAATTATAATTCAGATGTACTAAGAAAATTCAATAAGTTATCAATAAGTAAGCCAACTACAGATATAAGTCAAAAAACAAGGTAAGATTTCCAAGGTGCCATGTTGTAGACAGCTCAAGGACACAGTAATAAACCAGCAGAAAGTTCAAACAAAATACAACAGGAATCTAAATCTCTAAGATATGCAAGCAACACAAGGACACAGCAATAAACCAACAGAAAGTTGAAACAAAATGCAACAAAAATCTCCATCTCTAAGATATGCTAGCAACACATTCAAGCTGTCATCATCTGAACAGAAATTGTTCATTCAAAAGTTACCTAAAGAATATAACATGAAGAGATTCTACGGAGATTAGAGAAAGAACTCTGGCCCTGATCTTCGCATTGTTTGCATTATCTCAGATTCAGGGGCTTAATTCCAAACCTCAATTTCAATAAATTTAAAAAGCAGTTGGCACCAAGAATCCAGAAACCCAATCATGGAACAAAGTATGAAACAACAATATGGTTTTATTTTACTAAAGGATAGTTTTATTTTGTTTAATTATATTCATATTCCTATTGTAGATGTCAAATAAGTTTCAAGCAATAAAAAAATGGGAAATTATCATTGGTAGCCATGTAAAATTGCACATTATCAATGGTAACAAAATTTTTTACAATTCTCCCAAATAGCATTACTTTTGATAAGTTTCCCTAACATGACAATATATTTTGTAATTAACAACTATTAGCTTAAATAAACAAAAATTAAGTTAATGATTATCAAAAGGAAAAAAAAAAAACCAGCCACCCGAGCCAACCTGCCCCCACCCCCGCCACCGTGCTCCTCCCCACCCGGCCACCCCTCGCTGGCGCCGTACTACTCCTGAAACCGCGGCAACACCCCACCTCGACCCCACCCCTAAGCCACCCTCCCCTTCCCCTGAACCACCTTCCCCTCTCCCTAAAACCAATTCCCCTCCCCTAGAAAAACTCTCCCTCCCCACCTGCCAGCGCCAAAACCTGCTTCCCTGCGCCAGCGAACACGATTCGCCCCACCCCCTTGTCGTCTCCACTCCCTTTCCCCCCTTTAACCACAACCCCAAAACCCTACCACCCCAAATCAAAACCTTAAATTTTTTTATTTGGGGGTTTAAGGGTTTCGAGTGATGGTTAAATGGGGGAAAGGGAGTAGAGACGGCAAGGGGGTAGGGCGAATCGTGTTGGCAAGCGCCGGGAGGGGGTTTTGGCTCCGGCCGGTGGGGAGGGAGAGTTTTTCGAGGGGAGGGGAATGGGAGGGTGGGTCGAGGTGGGGTGTTGCTGGCACGCGGTTTCTAGGGTAGTACGGCGCCGGGGGGGGGTGGCTGAGGTGGGGAGCAAGGTGGCGGGGATGGGGCAGGGTAGCTGCGATTTTTTTAATTTTTGTTAATTATGAGGTTAATTCTTGTTTAATTAGGCTAATTACAAATATATTGTCATGTTAGGAAAACTTATCAAAAATAATGCTATTTGGGAGAATTTGTTAAAAAAAAAAAAATACCATTGAGAATGTGCAATTTTACATGGCTACCAATGAGAATTTCCCTAAAAAAATTTTAGTTTAAGAAATAATAATATAAAAGTTTAAAAAGTCTAAGAGCGTATACTAATAGAGTAATTCAAATTTATTTGAAACAAGTTAGGTATACTCAGCATGCACTAGAAAGAGGAATAAAAAAAAGGGTAGTATCCCAAGAGGGAAACTTGTCAATCTAAAGTGACTAAAGAGCTACATAGAATTTAAAATAGCATCAAGCAATCAGAGGACATAAATGAACTCCAAAGCTACTTAATACTCACTTGATGGGTAAACCTGCGATCTGGACTGCCAAATATACGTGCTAAACCAAAATCCCCAAGTTTGAGTTGTCCATCAGCTGCTAACAACAGATTGTTTGGCTTCATATCCCTGTTAAAGACACAGAGTTAGTCAGCACATATATCAAATCAGTCTCAGCCAACATCACTCCAGTTATTTTGAGTTGTAAGAAGCACCTGTGAAGGACCCACTTCTTGTGACAAAAAGCTAGTGCTTTCAAGGTCATTTGTAGATAAGATTTCGTGTCAGCAGGAGAGAGTACAATATTCCTATCCCGAATGACAGCTTCAAGATCACTCTCCATGAACTCAAACACAAGATGCAAGTTTCCCTTATGGGGGAAGGCATCTATCAACGCTATTATGTTAGGGTCTTTAAGCTCTTTTAACAGTTTAATTTCTCTCAGGGCAGTGAAATTCACACCTTCCTTCTGCTTTCCAAGACGAATTTTTTTGATTGCAACAGTTTGATTTGTCTGCGTAGCAGCGAATGAATTTTTAAACCAAAGCTATCGCTAAAACAAGAAAATCATAGGGTTACACATACAATTAAAATTTTTAAAACCAATAATTTAAGATCACCAATTCCTCGGGTCATATCCTATGTGAATCATACTACAAAATGCATATGGTGCTACAAGAGTAAACTCCCAAAAATCTATGACTATCACTACTTCAAGTGCTGGGCACACGACATATCTCCAAATAAGCAAGCTTACTTTTGACCCTTTCTATGCAAGGCCACTTTTCTTCCTGGAGCTATATATAATTCACAATAACTGTAAGTACATAACAGAGCAAGCAAAACAAAATTACAAAGAAACTACAGAGAAAAACCACATGTTTAGTAAGATTATTTATATATTGTTATAAGGAGACAAATTTATGTTCCCACCAAATTCATCACAAAAACCACCGTGACAAAATTTTTGCCTACCAACAAACTAAGATGCACACACATATAAAGAAAATTTTTGCCTATCACCAAAAAAAGATGCATACATAAAAGGCAGAGAAGATACTATCATAGAGATTAGGAAATTTTACCAATACACAAAGTTTCATCTAAGCCACGGATTTGCCTTTATATTCCTTTTCCCACCTCAATCGAAAACAACACTAATACTAATCTATATAATAACTTCAGAGTCAATTTTACAACTTTTCACCGTAACCTTTTAAACTCTTAGCCCTCAAATGTGTTAACATCACTATTTCTTTTATTATTTACAAAAAAAACTAGTAATTTCCATCATAACTTCCAATATCATCCCTACATCATATCACTTCCTCTAAACAATTCAATAACTCCCCGGATCATATTAACAAAAATAAATTAATAATACTATAGTACTATGAACAAACACAAGTAAGAATATGATTAAACAACATATCAACATTCAAAAGCTAGTTTATGAAACTAACACACACAGGTAAGAATATGCAGCATCAACAACAACAATTCTACATTAAATTAATCCACCCCTTAAACTGCATAATACTATTAAGCATATAATGATATAATCTGAACGAAAAAGTAGTAAACAATTGAAAATTTAGAACCCTATCAATCATACAAGAGCAAAAAATATGAACGAAAAAGAATCAAAGAGTTAAACCTGGGTATCGATGGCCTTGTAGACAACACCATAGGTACCTTCACCAAGAACTTCACGCTTCAAGTAGCGATCAGCAACTTTCTTTGTAATCAAACTATCCAAATCCGACATTGCAAATTTAAAAGAAAAAAAATAAAAAATAAAAAATAAAAAAAATAATAATCCCCTTTTCTGAAGGGGGAAATTCCGGAAATCGAAAAACCCTAATTTTTTTGTGATTTATGAAGAAAATTATGCAATACCCTAATTAATTTGATGGGATTGAGATGATGAAATTGAAGAGATTATGCATATTAGCAGGTGGAAGGGTCTGAACTTTGTGAAGTGGAGATACAGAGAAAAAGAAAAAGAAAAAGGGGAATTTATTGTGTTGTTTTGAGTGTGAAGATTACGTTATAAATTGCTCTAGTTTGAAATGTAATGGGGTTTCTTTTTGGCAATTATAATAAGAAGGTGAAGATGAAGGTGAAGGTGGTGGTGAAGGAGAAGAGAGGTGAAGAAGGAGGTTTTAGTTGAAGAACATGAATAAAGAACAAATTTAAACCAAAAAAAAAAAAAAGGTATTTGAAGTTAGAAGGGTGTGTGAGTAAGTATGGATGGAGTATAGTGGATTTGAGAAAATCTATATTTCTGTCAATGAGAAATATGGTAAATTTATCTAGGGGTAAAAACGTCATTTTGAATTATAATGTAAGGGTGTTTTTGATATTTTATGTCAATTTACTCTGTTAGTGAGAAGTTAAAAATGGAGAAACTCCATTGGGGGGCAAAGACGCCAAAAATAGGGATGTCGAGGTTTGGTGGTCTCCATTGAAGTAGCTTTAATAAGAAGATGAAGGTGATTAGTGTTGGGTTTCGTAGTGTCCGACACTACGCGGAAGAGAAACCCGCCCAAGACCCGCCCACTAATTAAAGCAACTAAACATGCAATCACATAATTAACAACATAAGAGAGAGAAAGAGAAAAGACATTCTTACCCTCGACGCGTGCTTCGCTCGCTTCACGAGCTCTTACTTGAAAGCTTAACCTCGCAAGTGCGAAGGCCTTCGACGGCTCGCACCCTCGACCCGACCCGAGCGGTCTTTATCCTGAAGGTTAGTCAGGACTTGAACAAATAAAAACTAGAGTATCACGAACTTAAAGGTTTTCTCACTAATGATGAGATGCCTTATTGAGTTCAACTCAAGTGTTTTTTCCCAAACCCAAAACTTGGGTATTTATAGGGAAAGGAGACTTGATCTCCCTTCTCCTATCAATGTGGGAGAATTGCAGTTTTCCACCAATTTATTTTAATCAAAAATAAATTAAAATGCAAAGCAATCAACAAGCACCAAGTGGCAAAGGGTGAGCAAGGGTAGGTGAGGACCACTTGAGAGGGGACCAAAATCCCCTTGCTCCCCAAGCAACCCTCAAGATTCGGTCCCCACACCAAAACCATGAGTTGTCCCCTTGAGCATGGCTGGCTGGCAGCCTGCCTTAGCTGCCAAGGCTACCCAGCTGGCGCCTAGCACCAAGGCTGGGCTTGCTGGCCAGCCTGCCTACGCACACACGCAGCAAGCACGCCACACATGCATTGCGGGCTGCTAGCTGTTGCTGCTTATGCGTTGCGGGTGCGGGTACGAGTGTTATGCGATGCCCAGCACACATAGCCCATAGCACAAGCACGCATAGCGTGCTGCTGTGCGAGTGTTATGCTCTGCATTACTTGCGGCCATGTGCACCAGCCTTGCTAGCATGCTTGGTCTAGCACGCAACGCATGTTAGGCATGTGGCATGCCTTGCGATGCGCATGGTAGCTTAAGCTAGCCTAGCACTCGCATGGCTAGGCCAATGCGAGGCTACGGCCTAGCTCGTACTTGTCGCTTGCTTGATTTCCCGTCTTGTCGAATTCTAAACTCGACTCGACTTGCGACGCTCGGTTTCGACGCTTTAAGCTCGACATCCGACGTCTTTATTCGTAATACTCTAATGACTCATCTAATCCTTCGGATTGATTCGTCGTCTCGGATCGGTTATTCGATTGGGGTACGACCAGAAGGGTTCAGTCAAGATTAAGCTGTAACATTAATTATGCATTAATATTACTGATCGGAAGCGGCCTCAACCTAAGCATTCCGATCACTTGACCTCATTGAATAATTAACTTTCTAATAATTCTGAACCCTCTATCGGAATAATACACTTATTGGAAGGAATACACTTGTTGGAAGGACACCATTCCGTTCAATTAGCTAGGTGGGAATTGGGAAATGAACAAAGGTGGAAGAAACCATGGATGGACCATGCATGGAGGTGGGTAGTGAGCAGGAAGATGAATATGCTTTTTTTCCCTTTTTTTAGAAAAATTTATCAAAAATAATACTACCTTTGCTTAACCCGCTCAAAATAATACAACCTTTGGGTTATTGACACATAAGGGTGACACGTAGCAATGATGTGGCGCCAAATCATATCGAAGGAGTTGTGACACATGGTGATAGCATGTTGTCCCATTGTGTTTTAATAATATTATAGATACAACCTTTAATCTCATTTGAAATAGGTAAGTGTACAAGTAACTTGTATAACTTAAGTCAATAGGTAACAATTGACCACCTTCCCTCCCAAACGTTAACTAAGCTAATTGTTGACTCGTTATTATCTAGAGTTAAATAAAAAAAAATAAAAAATTAAAAAAATTAAGCTCTTCTTCTCTGCTTCACGCACACCTTTACACTCTATAATTCAACTCCTAAAACAACAAATTGCAGCAACTATTGTTGTCTTGTTGACGATCAATATAAAGGAACAACTACTACCTATTAATGATGCAAAAATCCGAAACTCTATGGGCATAATCCTATAGCTAATTTCAAGTACGAATTCGAAACCCTAGTTTCAATACACGAATTCAATTAGGGTTTTTCTATAATGCGAATTTTAGGGGTTTTACCTGAATTATAAATTATAGGGTGTGTAGAGTAAATTTGGGTATGATATTATAGATTTTATGCAAATTATTTTTGGTTTTTGGGGGTTGTTTTTACAAGAATTCTAAATTGTAGGGTGTTTAGATACTTTGGGTATGATAATATTGTGGATTTTGTGCGAATTGTTTTTGGTTTTAGCGTTGATTATTGTTATTGATATGCGTGAATTTTATTATATTTTTTAAAAATTGAGGCACTTTATAGTTTTAGAGTACGTAATTGATCCATTTTTTTAGGTTTGGTTGATCATATCGTATGTTATTCGTGTGGTTGAATTTGTATTAATTGTATGTATTGTGCGTATTTGGCACAGGGGTGGTTTTCAACGTGTTATTGATGGGGATTTGGTGTATGTGGGAGGGGAGGGTAACACTTTTGATGTTGATCCAGATGAAATATGTTACTGGTATTTGGTTGAATTTGCTAAGGAGTGTAGGGGTAGGAGGTATACGCATATTTGTGGGGTTTTTTTATTTTGATACCAAGGTTGAGTTTATCGAATGGTTTAAGGAGAGTAATTCATGATAAAGATGCATTGGATATGGTAGAAGTAGCAGTGAAGTATAGGTGTGTAGGTGTGTATGTGTTAATGATCAAGAATAGGATAAAAGACCCCCATGAAGATCCGAAAAGGCCAGATGTACTTAATAGACTGGGTAAGGAGATGACATAAAAGATGATGTTGTGTAAAAGTTCAGTGTGTTCAAAAAAAGGCATAATAAAAGAAGATGTCCTAATAAGGATAATGTTGCTCCTACTGAACCACCCCCAATGAAACTAAGAGGTAGGCCAAGGCTTGAAGGTGCCTCTCCAAATAGTCACAAAGCAGTAACTTCTTCATCAACTACACACCTCAATTCACTCCAACTGCAACATCCTCTTCGTCAACTCAACACCTAGCCTCATATGCACCAATTGGCCACCACTCGAGAACTGCTCAACCTCACAACTTGGCAAGGGTAACAAAGTGGTTAGATGTGGGAAAATTACATTCAACAAAGGGAGAGGAAGAAGAAGTGGGGAAAGTATTATCCGAGTTGGAGAAGGGGTGTACATAGCACCTGATAGCTCAGTTAATCATGTGAGTTTTAAGATTTATGTGTATTATTGTATTCATAATTTTTTTTTATGTATTTTGAATTACTTTGTTTGGTTGTATTCATGTTATGGTATTTATATTAACATTTGTATTCACTATACGCGTGTTTGTAGAATCTTGTAAAAGAAGTAGGGTAAGCCAAGGAAGCAAGTGGATCAACCCCTTGTGAGTGCAACACAATCAAGTCAAACTTCTACATTATTGCATCAAGCAATTTAGTGACCTTACTACTGTTATTTTTATACAATCATTTTGTTTGTAATATATTTGATACATTTTGTTGTTTGATGAATTCATTGTGCTAACATTATAAATGATGTTTCGGGGTTTTTGGAGTCCCTCAGGAGAGTTACAATTCCAAGAATGGGCATCGACCGTCTGTACCTGCAAAACCACGGAAACTCCGGTTGGGTGGAGTTCCGCCTCCGACGATCAAGTTAGAACGTTTCCGGATGTATTAAAGTGCGGAATGTAAAGGTTTTTCTCTCGGATTCCGAGAGAATTCTGCAATTAATATTGCTCGGGTTTTGTGTGTATATTTATGAATATGTAATAAATGTGGATTTTCCTCTATTTATAGTGAGAGGAGATCAGTTCTCCTTTCAAAGGTTAGAGTGCCATGTGTCACTAGAGGATTGGTTCTATCAGAACCTCTCTGATGATGACACGTGTCAGCATGCGATTGGTCCACGTGGACAGGGGGGGTATTTTTACCCTAAACATTTGCCCTTCACAGGTGTGACGTGGCTTGCCTCGTGGCACCTATGACAGGTGTCATGCTTTGAGAAGGTGACGTTTCGTCTCCTTCTTTCTGGTTTATTTATTTATTTATTTATTATTTTTTTTTTATTCGAATTTTGAATTCGAACCGGGAAGGTGACGGTTCGCCTTCTGGGGTTCTTTATAAGTAGAGACCCCCCCTCCTCTCATTTTCACACTTTGCAAATTTTTGTTGAGAGAATTTTCTGAGAAAGAGAGCTCTGATATCGGCTGCTAGTTCTTGCGCAACCGTCTTCCTTTTCCTCACTCAACCGGTCACCGTCTGAGTGCTCATCACCCAAAACTCATTAAAACCGCCTGTGAATCCTTTGATTGATTCCAATTTCTTTCAATACACCCTCAGCCGGTTAACTGTCTGGGGTATCTTCAACCAAAGCTTCTGAGGAACGGTTGGGTTGTTAAACAATCCTCAATTGCTCTTCAAGAGGGTACATCCGGACAACCGTCTGGGTTTCTTCTCCAATTTTCAGTTGCGCTTCAAGAGGATACATCCGGGCTACCGTCTGGGTATCTAGCAAGCAACAAAAAGATTTTCGGCTGCTGATCCGGTTAGCCTACTTTCCCCTCACTCAAAGCATCTTCAAGGTACCGTCTCTAACCCTTGCAACTTTTTTGAGTTTTTCCGGTTGTATAGCTTGTAAAGAATAATGGACTCACCCAACACACACACGGCACGGCCTTAGACAGTTGTCAGCCGGTCATCACCGGATACAGCTGAGTCTAGGACGGGGGATGCCATCTAGGGGTGTTTGGACCACCCTTACTCTTCTGCGAATCCGATCGTCTTTGTTCATGTGCTAGAAAGAATGGCTCGGACGAGACGGACGGCTGTAGACCCCGAATACCAGTCAGACGGCTTAGCCGAAGCTCCGGTTGACAT